AAAATCTAAATGAATTGTTTCCTAATTGACAGCTGATTACCGTACCTTGTGCTGAGTTTTTTTTCATATATTCTTAATTTCAAAGCTGGTTACTTTGTTCATTTTGACTTGTTATCACTTTCATTGCATAGGCCACCAGAGATTATTATAATATTATGTTTGCAAAGTCTGAGCATATTTTTGTTGTTATAATTCAAAACAGCATTTTGTATCATGTTGAACTAACTTTTACATGAATGTATTTCCAGCTGCAGCCCTTGTCACCGCACTCAACAAATTCCTCTCTACAGGTATGTGTATAATGTTTTCATTTTACCTTAATAAATATTGAATGACATTTACTTTATATTGTATCATAACTGTGGACTATCAAAATGCATTTTTACTTTGGAAAGAATACAGAATAATACTTAATGCAGTTTTTGCACATTATAAAAAAAGTTGGATTTTAATAGATATGAGAGACTGCTCGTTTAGAGTAGTTATGTAGACCAAAATATATGCTTTTTGTTGCTCTAAGGAGAAAATATGTTTGCCATGCGAACTTCAATAAAGGATTTAGGTTAAGAATGTAAATCATGAAAATAATTTATACATCCTTATTTTCCACTACCTAGCCATACAAAATGTGAAGAAACAAGGAATGAGCCTGTGTTGGTAGTGAAGTAAAGCACTAGTGAATTATAACTTGTTTTTTCCTTTCACTTTCAGTGGATGCATTGGAGCAGAGAATCTGGTTGAACTTGACAACGCTAAAGAACCGTTCCATCCTTATACAGTGAAGCGGTCTGCCATTCCGAGACCCAGTGAAACAGCTCAGTGAGTAAAAGATTTTGTGTCTTGTCATCAGTAATTCATTATTTAGGATGTTGTGGGTTTACAACATGCTGCAGGCTATAATTGCAGGACAGAACAGAGCAATGAACAATGATTAAAGAATCTTAAGTTCATTAAGATAGCTCTTGGACCAAATATCGGAAAAACAGATATTCTCATCAAAGAATTTAGCTCTTTAGAAAAACGAAACCAGCCTTTAGTTCAAAGATTAAGTTTTAAGTAACTGGGGAGAGGAAGAGGAAGTTTTTGCCTATTATGACGGAGCACAATAGTTTCTCAGTCAGAAGAATTAGCTTTTGTATTAGCATTCTATCTAAAAGATTCTTATAGCAATATACCGGTGGCCTTAATTTGGAGATACACTCATTGAATAATTTAACGGATCCATCAGGAAAAATATTGTTCGTACTGGAAAGATGTAGCATCAAAAGAAATTGATGTTTCCTCTGAAAATATAAAACGCACTGTTAAAGAATGGTAGGGTTTCTCTAAATTTAATAATATAATATCCAATATGACTTTCCTTTTTTCAGCCGACCCAACATTCCGTTGTACAGTGGATGCACTCTGTGGCAGGGTTATTATGCTCCGGCCCATTCTAAGCCAGCTGATCGGGAGTACCTCCAACCAACAACGACAACTTTCCACAAGTAAGTACATTAAACACACTGGTTTGTCTTTCTGAATTAAATGGATGAATCATCCTTTAGTGTGTATAATGTTTGAAGTTTTGAGTTTTTTTCCACCAGTGATACAAGATAACTTTTTTATGAGATGTTATTTCCAAGGTAACAGTAATCTCCCATAATGGAAAATAGCCTCAAATACTCCCACCTCCCTCAGTGCAGACTTTGGGACTCAAAGCAAGCCACTTTCATAATTGTAAAATGTCTTGCTTTTAGAATAATTAGAGCTTTGGGAGGAGCCCTTAACAATACACTTTCTTTTTAAAAAATTGTTTTGCCCTTAATTATGCCAAGTTGATGCCTCATTGAACACAAACCTCATCTGTCTGTAGCAGTTATTCAACTTTTAAAAAATTGTTATTCAAGATTTTTTCCCTTTCTTTTCTTTCCCTTTTGTAGAATAAATCAAATAATTTCTGGAATTGTGAGACAGAGATCATAGTAGCTGAACAAAACACTTTTGATAAACTTGTCTAAAATTAACATCTGCACATATCAGAAAAATTTCTCGACAAAAACATCTGTTCAATTCTCATACAAATAAATGAGAATGAGCAAACATGTCTAGTTTGGCCAGATCTCTTGTAACTTCATCTGCCTTTTATCAATAAGCTAACTCAACAAAAACTGTGTCCTATTTCAAAACCATTAAGTTTTTATTTTATTGCCTTTTATGCATGTAACAGTGTGACCCACAAACAATGTTTACTACATTTTCCCTTGCAGATCCATTCCTGTGGAACAGACCCCTGTGGACCATAAGCGCAATGCTCAGATGTCTAAGATGATCACACTGGTTCCTCCGTGCAATCCTTTCAATTCCATGGAAAAGGAAGGAGTTCAAGTATAAGCAGAAGGTCAACGTACAGAATTAAACCTATCAGTGGAATATCCACAATTTGATCTGAGGCAGTGAAAGCCTTTCAAAGACATTGTCTCGTAACATTTGTATTTCTGTTTAGCTGTGTGCAATTCATTCTTTAGTGCCTTTGGAATTGTGTTTTTGTTTCGATATTTTACTAAATGTAAAGGTGTAAATGTGATGAATTGCTATACCATGCTGAATTTTTCCCACAAACTGTGTGCCATTGCAGCACGAATGTATGGGATTCCCTTGTCAAAGTTTAGCTGGGATTATATCAGCTTTACTTACATGCTAAGTTCCATGTTATTGTCTCTACAAGTGTCCCACAAAGTGCATTCTCACTTTATTTACAGTATTATTAGCTCCTTCGCTTTATCGAAAGCAATTGCACTCTATTCATTGTTGTCCATGGAATCTTCCTCCTCATTATAATCATCACTGTTCATCAGCATCATCATCTTCATCATTGTTATGGTCACTTTGGCCAATTTGTTATGTATTTATTTATTGATAAGTTCTACATAGTTTTAAAGCCTTCAAAGTGAATGTCCTGTTTCTATTTGAATTATATTTTTGTACAGTGGCATAGTAAAGAAAAACCAAGATATTTTCACACCTCTTTAGATAGTTTGACTTTTACTGTTGTACAGTTATGTGATGTGGTAAGATGAGGTCCTTTTGATTTTTTCAAGAGTGTGTGTGTTGATATTTCTGGATTTTACTGTTGTGTTTACAATCTATGTACATGAGTGGAAAGTTTTATGAGTCCCCTTTTCTTTTTGATGTGCTTTATTTGTTAACATGAAACAGATATGCTGAAACTTGTTTTCTGTAAAAAGATGTCCCACCGACTGTGATAACATTTACGCTTTTGATATCGCCCCCCCCCCAAAAAAATCCCAAAAATGAAGCCTTTAAAAAAGAAGACAAAAAATATATAGATGTATATTATTGTTATTTTGTGGAGAGGGTTAGACCTATTGGGTTCTTAATGCCTGCTGCTCTGATTTTTAAAACACAAGCAATAGAAAATATTGTATGGTAATACACACTGCCCTGTCTTCTAGGAAGTATATAATTATGTACCAAAAAAGGCAATGGAATATCGTAATAAGTGGTGTCTTTTTATATTACATTCTTTTTATTCTTTTCCTTTGAAACAAAAATGAGTTTTGAAGCTGTATGTAACAGCTGTTTATATGATGCCTTAAAAGAAAACATTTTAAAAAAGTAACAATATTGTTAGTCAAGATTTGTTGACTTTTATCAAACTCAGCAGTATTTACGTTTTGTAACCCAGAAGCCAACATACTCTTGTGCCTTTTTGTTTCATTTGTCTTATTATCTAGGTGCAGCATTTTGTTTTTTGTCTTTATTGTGCTGAGGGAATGTACATTATTTGACTGCACACAAACAGCATTAGTTTTTAATGTGTCAACATTTTGTAAACAGCATTATTTTAGTAAAACCATATCCTCATCTTTGAAACCATGAACATAATTTTAGTGGTTTACAATTTTTAATTCATAGTAAATTAAGTGAGTAACTGTTATTAGTATATAGAGTACAAAATTTCAATCATGTTATTATTATTTTATTTTCCTATAAAATACTTGTGTACGAAGAGAACTTAAGGGTGGATACTATTGCTTTGATGAAAGCGAGATCATTTTTCTCATTTATTCTCTTTTTATAAAAAAACAAGGTAAATAACCAGAATTCCATTCCTTTTATGTCCTTAATAAGATTACTCCTGATTAGAATTTTTTGCTGGAAAAATATAGATTAAGATTTTTAAGATTTTGTTGTGACAATTTGAATGATTAGAAAAAAAAGATTATTGAGGGAAGTTGTACAATTTTAAGACAAATTTTATGTATTCAAGATGCATTTGTGGCAAATTTGTGTATCTTCGTTGCTTGTTTGAAACAAAACATGTGTGGTCTTCGAAAAAAATGTTGAATTGTGAGAATTTATGTATAATATTCAAGACTTCATTTCTACCAGTCTAGAATACACTTTAGTGTATATTGTATGGTTTACTGCATTTATGGACAATCGAATGTCTTTGAGTCAATCATTCTTGTATTGCTCCAATTCCAATCATAGCTAGTGTTGCACAAGTTGTCTTCATAATAACTGCACAAAGTGACGTCCAATATGCACATGAATTATATACTGAAGTTGAGATAAAACCAGCTGCAGATCTGAGTAGAGCCTAGGAAGCCAGTGAAATGACTGGATAGAAAACATTCCTTGTCAAGAGATGCCGGCTGTTCAGATGTTCTAAGCCCGAAATTTTTAATTTTAAAAATTACGGTTTCTTAATCTGTGGCATGGGTTACATATGCTCGAGGAAGATTTAGTCGGAATTCAAATTTTGAGTGTTAAAAAAAAGCAAGAAAAGATACTTAATTTAGGTATCATTTTAAAAGAATGAAATAACATAGTTTTTTCTTTATCCTGTAAAATTTTGCTTTCTGGGCTTAGAACAGTTTAACAGCTTGCCAGTGATATATACTGCTATGTCTTTGGCTTGTGGAATCTTTATAGGTTTAAGAAAATATAAAAAGAAATTAAAGATTTCTTATAAAACCAGTTTCTGTTTGTCACATACTTTATTGTATGAATAGCATGTGATTTTTTAATCTCTTGAATTTTGGGCTTGACAGAAAGATTTGCTTTCAAATTTACCAAGGATACCTTCAGACCCTTAGTTCCACATGTCATGTGCATTGTTTTCCAGCATTTTGCTTTGTAGTCTCTAGTAAAACACTGACCTCGGATGATCACTGGTTTTCTTGATTACACTGTGAGATGCTTTTGAAAGGATGCAGAGAAAATAAATTCTTGTTCACACAATATTTGCTGAGTATAGATTTGTATGTCAAGTACAAACATTGGTGAGCCCCCAGGGCAGTGCCACTGACTGTAGTGTCTTTAGGCCATTCCCAAAGGGGGGACATTTCTCGTTCAAGCATAGTAGAATTGTAAATGGGC